TTCACAAAAATGTTCTTGGTCATGATGAATTAGTTATCCACGCAATGGATATATTTGCCACATACGCAATGAACTAGCAAAAAATTTAATCATATCCAAAACACTTTTTTTGGGAGTCCTCCAATTTTGGACCCCATTTTATCCAAATTATATATTACAAAATTTAGTGGCCCAATTTTCTCAAGGAGGTTTGTGTGCTTCTCATTTGAGAGAAGGAACCATAATATTGCACTATCTGTTAAGGATATGTGTGGATATAAATATATTTAAATATAAAATAAATTAGCACATTCAGTTTGCTGCAAAAAAGGGAGTCCCACATATGCATCTACATCATCACTATGGCCAACATTTAAGGCAAACATTTAAAATGCATACAACTTTTTAGTCACTATCAAAGTAAAATTTAAATTCCAGAAAATTGTTGTGGGCAATGGACATTTTTGTACTGACTAGTGACTACAAAGGGGAATCATTTTGAATGCTTTTATGGAAAACTTTCTACTGACCAGATGACATCCTTCTGAAGCTGAATTGGCCACATAAGAAACGGAAAAGACAAATAGATAGTTCGTTCAAGGTCACGCCTGCCAGGGGTCTCATTTGTATTAGTCATGCAAACTGCTTAACAAAGGAATTAATGTTGCAATAGGAAAAAAAGGATTGGTTTGGGAGAATACTTGTTCTGCTACGGAATAGGAAAGAAATCCTGGCGAAGAACATGTTTACTTTTATATTCTTTCTATTGCCCGAGTAAATAGAAAACGACGTTGGATAGTGTGAAATAGTTATTTGCTCATTCGTAAAATTTTTGGGCTGACGTGGTTGGTGAAAGAAAAGGTCAGATTAAGCAAATACTAAGACTGTGTTTGAGAAGCATATAAGCTAGCTTATAGTTTATTTGATTAGTTTATAAGATTCCTGTATTCAAATAAGTTTGGTTTGGCAGGACGAACTTTTTTAAAACCCTTGAGCTTATCTCATAAGCTTCCTTGAATAGCTTTTCAAATAAGTCCATTAAAATTTTTATTTCAGCTGGCTTATCAGCTAATTTTACCAAACACTTTTATGATATAAACTAGTTTTTCGGCCACAAGTCATAAACTAGCTTATCAGGTTTACCAAACATAGCCTAAGTAGTTTAAGAGATCTCTGTGTTTTGATTTGTTAATAACAAACCCAAAAANATCAAAACCAAATGTGTCCCAAAACTGGCATTCAGAGGCTCACCTCGTTCAAGTTCCTTTCTCAGCCGGGTCTAGTCTTGGGCTAAAAGTCCTCGTTTGAAACCCCCGTTTTATTTCTATCTTCTTCAGGGGGCTTAGAAGTATCTATGGAAAAGCCTATTTTTTCCATGATCTCCTCCAGCCGTTGAACATTTGTAAGGTACAGATAACCAATCTAGACAGATGGTTATGAACCATATTATTTCATTAAATAAATTGTCATCTCCAAAAATTTAGGAGCAACTTAAGTAAATAAATATCATAAATTACAATATATGTGCAGATTGATTCAAATAATTGCCCCGAAGCCAGAAAAGTATATGCAAAGGATAATCATCCAACAAAATGACCAAATTTGGTTGACTTTCACTAGTAGGTAAACAAATATATTAAGTTATAGTTCTGTAAGCTTGAAAGAGTACTAAGTGATTGCTTCTCTGATTTTGAGATAAGCAACCTCTATGACTAGCGTAAGAGCTACACCGACATATTCCAGGAACAATGTCAGCTTGAGTTTATTGGTTAATTTTTAATTTTTTATCTTCTTAATTTTTTGGCACAAATACTAAGGGCGTGCTATATATTCGCTCAAAACGAGTTTATCTGGCTAACTATAGTTAATTTTGAAAAATATTGGCATGATTAGTTATCAGTGGGATTTTGAGTTTATAAAAAATAATATTCAAAATAAAATAATTAAAGTTGATTTGATATAAAAGTAGAAGAGAGATGATGTGAAGTGATAATTAGTTAAAATTATGTGAGTGGATGAATAGTAAATTAAAGTTAATATGATGTGTAAGAATGATTGATTGATCTTATTTAGTTATATTGATAATATTGAGGTTGGTTGGTTGAGTTAAAGTTGAGTTAGATTTTAAGTATGGATTGAGTACGGATTGAGTTATTTTATAAACAAACGCATCCTAAGTAGATAATCCCGTTTCCTTATTCACACCAGTGCCTCCAAAAAAAACAGGATAAGCAAACACTCGTCTTAAAATGCCACTACATAGTGAACTTTTTTTTCTCTTTATCAGCATGAGCAGATAGCAATAGGTTACATGACCCTCTAAGATGGAAATACCAGACATCATATTTTGATCAAATGCGCACGTGCTTCTCATCAAAGGCTTCAAGTTTGGTTAAAATCATAAAAGAAAAGCCGAATTCTTGGAAGTAGCATGACAAGAACAGATGGAAAATTACTTCACTATCATGGAGCCCGTCCGTAATGACTACTACAAAAATGGTACTGCAAGCAAAAGAAATATACTAATGTCTCCAATAAAGATGCTATGTTGTAAACTGCAACACCTGCACGTTTCTTTGTTCGTGTTTTTGAGGAATTAATATTTTTCCCTCAACGCAGAACATCCCTGTTTATAAGAATTCTTTTTTCAGATCAAGAATGCAGAACAAGATGAGGACTTGGGCTGCTAATGAATCGAACGTTCGCGAACAAAAGCTCGTTCGAGTTCGAATAAAGCTCTTTCATTATTTAATCGAGCCGAGTTCGAACGGAAACTTAAGCTCGTTTGTTAATCGAACAAAAACGAGCATGTTCGTGATCAATAATTTAAGACGAGCATGTTCGCTAACAATAATTTAAGATATATATATATATATATATATATTAATAAACATTTATAAAATATCAAATAAGATACATATTTTTTTAAAATTTAATTTTCGAGCTCAAATGATTCGAGCCAACCGAACTCGAGTTAATCAAACAACTTCACCAATCTTATTACTAAAATATTAGAACACGAACGAGCTCAAACGAGCTTGAATATGAAATTTAGCTCGAATAATCATCGGACAAACACAATGAGTGTTTGAATATAAACGAACACGAGCTCGAAACGCTCAAGCTCGGCTCGTTTAGTTCGATTACAACACTACTAAGGACAGATTGTAGTTGTAGAATCTATTCTTTATTTGTATGTCAAAATCAAATCAAACTAGTACAACATCAGTGTAATACACGAGCATTGAATAATTAAGAACTTTATCCATAAAATAAAAAGTTGAAAAAAAATAGGTTTTTAAAAAAAATTATTTGAAAATTACACTATCCATTTTATTATAATGACACGTGTGTGTTGGACATGACCACGATGATCTTTAATCACATTCTTAGTTTACAATATAATTATAAACCGATATTAATTTTCTTACTTATCGTATAATATTGCATATCCGCCAATAATAATATTTCTCACTTAGATCATACAGCATCAGTATGTTAATACTATATGCCAGTTAAAATTGATAGATAGTTATTTTCCAACTAGGATTGATAATAACCATTTTTTATTTTCAATTCAGGATTAATAATTAAATTTATTTTTTATCTATAACGATAGATATATTTATGTTTATTATATATGGAATATAGATGTTAAATAAAACATCATTAAAAGATAATTTAATATACTATAAATGGAAAACTGGTAACAAATAAAAATTATTCAGTTTGATAAATTTATGCGAGGTAAGTGATTTATAATTTTAAAAGTCCTAGATGGATATCCTAACCTATATCCTTAACCAATATTTATATCCCAATCTGCTTTGGATCATTTATTATTGACAAATAAAATAATGAAGCAACAAAGAATGTTTAGACTCGAGAAACTTTGGATTATAATGTATAGTGGGGATGGGAAGTAATGACAATACCAAATGACAAATATGATTTAGAATTATCTTCATATGAAAGAAATGAATTAAAGAGTGATTGAACAAATAATAAGATAATAGATTAACAAATTAAGGAAAGATCCAAGCCTGCACAACAAATTACTTGGTAGACTGAAATGATTAGATCACATTCCTATGAACATTGTTACACTAAATATGATTATGAAGCATGGCTTGCACTTAAACTGAAATTAAAATTATATAGAGGTCGATATTGTGTTTACTAGTTTTCTTTTAAAGTAGGAATATGGGTGGACTAAAACCTACATATAGACTAGCTATTTCAACTTTTGGAACTTTAACTACATCAGCTCAAAGTTTGAACATGGTTGAAGATGCTTAAATGCATCTCTAGTACATTAAAAAGAATAGAGACACAAGCAATATCATAAAGAATAAGTAATTTTACATTCTCTAAATCATATGCTGCCTTATTCTTGCTCAGTGAAGTTTCAGTATTATTCTTGCTCAGTAAAAGATGATCCACAAATATTTATTACTGTTATAATAACAAGTGGCCAAAAAACTAGTGATGACATGTCACATTACCATTGGATCACTGGAAAAATATGGATTAAGTTATTCTTTCCTTTTGTATATAAACAATTTTGTTTCTGTAGTAAGGGACTTACCAATATTAATGGACATTGATTTTACCATTGGACCTATTTTTATCTTAATCTGCTCAGTTATACTTTGCAACTTTCTTCTTTTGTGGCATAGTTAGGTTTTAAAGTGATACGTATTATAAGAAAATAGTAAAATAATAGTTTGAGCATAAATAAATAAAATTATAAAGAACATAAACTGAGATTATGGTCCTCACATAAAGGCGTCATATAATTAACTGAGAATGAGTATTGTGAAAAAGGTTCATTGTGAACCTTTTTACCTTTCTATGTAACAACTTCATTGTATGTATGGTTATATATATGTGGGTATTAAAAAAATTAATCCAATACATACCTCTCTTCTTGTGATAGGAAATCGTCACTCCTAAGTTTTTGCAACATAGCATCCTGAAACATGAACAATGACATATTCATCATTTTTCATAAACTAAGACTGCCTGGAACATGGGGCTCTAAATTATGTGATTTAGGAAAAGAAAAAAAAAAAGGAATAAGCAATCCCACAACAGGGCCCATATAGCCAATATGGTCAACGAAAAAATACAATAAGTTCTTAATAGCAAGCATCATTTAGAAAGAAAGAGGAAGAAGGAAACAACACACATTGTAACATGTTATATAGCCAACCATTAATGAACATATGCACGTGAACAAATAACGGTACAGTCTGATGAAATTTGTCAAAATGTGCACAATGTTAAATTGATACCATAAACAAGAATAAAAAGAGCATGTGGAGCAAAATAGCAAAAGGTATTTGAGCCTTAACATGGTTAACATAAGTGTGCAACTTGTATGTTAGCAAATAACGAGTTATATCAAGCCTTGCTTATTAATAACCTAGGTTAGCTAAGTATTTTGGCTATCACTGGTAATGTAAATGAAACTACTCAGTAGAAGTAATTTATATTAATACCTGTGCTTCGCAGCGTACAACAGACATCACACGGTCATTGTATTCTTTTATATTTAAGGGGGGAAACAAGAAATGCCTGCGAGCATATAGCCGGGCACAATTGACGAGTTAAATATGAAGAGAATCATATGATAAACTTCTGAAAATTAGACATCTGTAGGTATGCCATGAGTATTCTGACAACCTGACATAGAAATATGAGACACAAAACAATAACTGCAAACTTTTGCTTGCAATATCTAGCAAACTTCCACCTTTCAAAACTGATTTATTAATATGAACACTTCGGTCAACATTTCCCACTAAATAATACCTAATCATGGTTGTCTACCTTATGATCTTGTACGCTTACATCAAATCAAACTATTTATAAATTGACTTCCGGAGAATCGTTTTCAGCTACCCATTTTACTATGCAAATGTATGTAACGTCTGTTACAAATAGATCAATTAGTCCCACGTGATATATTTAAAGCTCATTATAAGCTTCCTCTGCAAAGAACTAACCCAATCACTAAATTTGCCTCTCATCTACATCGTTTCAGAAACAGATACAAAGAGCTGCACGTTGCAGACCTCAACCTACTAAAAATATTACCAAAGCAAGCACCTTAATCAATTGTCAATGAGCTCAAACGAAAGTGAGCTACAAATTCGAATAAGTTCCCAATACATTCATCTTAAGTTGCGTTTTCCACTGAAAGCTACAAATCTAACACATCAAACAACTAACAAATAAAGTGCCCACCTCGTAAATGCAGTCCCCAATATAAGCCAGTGATGCAGGGTTCAAAATGGACCGAGGTTCTCCACTTTGGGCGGAATGGGTAGCCATGTTTTGTATCCCAAATACGAGCCACCTAAATCCTCTGCACCAACACTATTAAGGTTAAAACTGAAAGAAACAACACTGATTCAAGCAATGAGTTGTGTCTACATGCCTTCAGGCAATAATTCACAGTTACTTACACAAAACTACAGCTATAGGCTCACAAACTGTCATCCCCACACTTTCTGATCAAACATTACAAAATCATAAACAAGATATTACGTAACACATTCACGAAAAGCAATTGCGTATGTTGCAGAAGCTCAGACAAGATTACCCAATAAATGGACCAATATAAAACAACATCAATCATTGGAGTAACACATCAACATATTGAAAACGCCACTCAGTATTACACATGGACAATTAGCTTCGTCTATACAGACCCAGCAAACACTGAAAAGGCCACTCGAATTGAACACGGCGGGCAACTGGTTTCGTATACACAGAGTTAGTAACTACCTTGAGATTTTCTCGAGATGCAGCGTTTAAGGAGGTCCGAAATGGATATCTTCGGGGTACACTTCTCGGGCGTGGTGGTTCTGTTTTCTTGGGATGCGTGCGGCGGGGATTGTGCGGGATCCGGTGCTCGACGTCCACCGAAGAAGCTCTTACGGCGGATGTGGGAGATAGAATCGAACGCGCCATCGCCACTGAGGTTCCGCCGATTTTTTATTTTTTATATTTCCCTTTTTGGCGCACTTTTGTTGGTTTGCCGATGGATGTGATGGTCTTCTGGGGTTCAGGTAAATTCGCTATCCCCAATTCGTAAGAAGTGTGCACANAGAATAATTCCGATTTATTCTTATAGTTACATGTACAATTGAAACTAGTACATGGAATAATTCCGATTTATTCTTACACTTACATGTATAATTGAACCTAGTACACTTACTTGGGGCTGGTAAACGAGCCGAGCCGAGCTCGAGCTCGTTTATCACTAATAACGAGCCGAGTTCGAGCTTTAACGAGTTGATCTCGAATTATTACGAACCGAACTATATAAATTTATAAAAAAAAAATCTCTTATCGAGATGAATCAAACTCAGCTTGTTGACCAAATGAGGTTTAAAATAAGCTCGGGTTTGGCTTGTTTATCAAACGAGCCGAGCCGAACTTGAAGCTTAATGAGCCAAGCCGAGTCAATGCAAGTTTAATCTGACAGCACGACGTACTCTTGCATAATATGCATTAAAATTTTATATTATTTCTTTATATATGTTTATTTATTTATTTTATTTATTCATTATTAATATTTTACCAATTTGGGTACGGTAATTCTATGAATAAACCAAATGAATTTGGGTACAATAATTGTACTAAAAATTGGCTTACACGACCGCTTAGGCGCTGCCCGACCGCCTCCGGTTTACATGAAATAGCTGAAAAAATCGGCGAGACTACTAGGCGGGCTCAGCGACACTTTTCAGTTCTTTTAAATATTAATTATATTATTTTTTTATCATGTTTTCTTTATAATATATTAATATTACCGTTGACATATGAGTTAGATAATAAGAAAGCTTGGAGTTATATCGTATTTAAGAATCAAATAATGTGCGAAAAACGAGACCTCGGGTCGGACTCCAGTCCGGCACCTAGGGGTCAGAAATCATATGTTGGTATCCCGACTTCAACACGTCAGAAGAATCGAGGGGAAATTACGCCAAATACTAAAGACGGAATCTCATGTCGGACTCCCACTCAATGTCCAAGTAGGCTCCCCGAAAATGAGCTAGAATGGAGACGAAGATACAAGTTATCACCAACAACCCAACATCAGAGTGTCACAGCGGTTGGGGTTCCCCGAACATACCAAGAAGGAATAATAGAATAATTTCACTTGCAGTCAAATGATGACCCATTGCTACATGTCCACATTAAATGTATGCCGTTCAAACTTAAATTGATGTAATCCGATTAACAGTAGTTGACAAATCTTACTATAAAAATTCTTAAGAATCTATTTTAGAAGGGACTGATTAATAAATAATCTCTGTAATAAGACAACAATTCTCTCATTTAGTAGTGCATTTAAGGCGAAGTGTGACCTCAATGGTCGAAAAGTCATGCCTCAAAAGAATCTAGTTTCACGCAAATCCTTTGGTTTAATCCGATTTTTACAGTTCTAATATCTTAAAATTCACACTAAATTTTATAAATTTTGTTGATCCAATCCTTTGATGAATAATTATTATTTGGACTGAATGTGAATTTATTATAAACTAGTATTCGATCTTGTGCATTTGTACATATGTAAATAGAGTATTATAATATGTGCATATAATGTTAAAATAGTTTGATAAGTGTATTATATTTTAAAAAATTTGATAATTGATTAAAATTAATAACACATAACTATTTAATTACATATGAATCTTTTTATTGATTGCACAAAATGTATTAAATAATGTATTTGTTTTTATAATTTTGAGATACGAAATAATGTAATTTTTTATAACAGAAAACTTACCATGTTAATTTTATAATAAATAACATAAAAAAAATTACAATATAATTTTTTTATATTTATGTAACTTTCATATATCATTTAGTGTAAACATAATTAGTTAATTTTAATAATAACATTTATATGATATGTAGAATAAAAAATATAATTATTATTTAATTAACATGTAATACAACGATTTTTTTTCTTAATCAACCTTGATAAAGAGTAATACAGAAAATATTTTAGCATTAATGTACTAAGGTGAATTAATGTAGAAAAAATATAATAATAACATAGGATTGTAACAGAAAAAGGCGAAAAGAAAAAATAATTTTATTAAATGTTTTAGTAACAATTATATATATATATATATATTAATACAAATAAAAATTAAATTATTGGTGTTTCTTTGTAGAAAAAATAAAATGTACCAATTATATTATCTTCCACAATGCTACATTTGATGTAGTCTTACTAAAATTATTAAACACTACAATACATTTGCTACCCAACATATAATTAATTCAGTTAACGATCTCATGAAAAAAATTAATTAACAAAGTGTACCGTTATTGGTGGGAAACGAGATGTATTTTTATTAATTGTTTTGCTAAAATTATATATACATAATTACATATAGATTGAGATTATTTATTTTTATAAGTAGTAAAATAAATAAAAAATAAAATATTTAATCATAATTTTTAAGCGGGCTAGGTGTAACTATATATTCGCTGGCTCATTTCAGTGCATTCTTTCACACTGCCCCACCCCCAAAACCCTAGCTCCGCCGCTAACCCCAAACTTTCACCAATGGCAGCCGCCGCCGCCCGCCCCCTCGTCACCGTCCAGACCGTGGAGAACGACATGGCCACCGATGGAGGCGCCGCCGCCAAATCCCTTCCCCTCCCGGACGTCATGAAGGCGGCGATCCGCCCCGACATCGTCACGTTCGTCCACAGCCAGATCTCGAATAACTCCCGCCAGCCCTACGCCGTATCCAAGCGCGCCGGCCACCAGACCTCCGCCGAGTCCTGGGGAACAGGCCGCGCCGTCTCCCGTATCCCTCGCGTCCCCGGTGGAGGCACCCACCGCGCCGGCCAGGGAGCCTTCGGGAACATGTGCAGGGGCGGCCGCATGTTCGCGCCCACCAAGATCTGGCGTCGCTGGCACAGAGCCGTCAACGTCACCCAGAAGAGGCACGCTGTAGTCTCGGCGATCGCTGCATCTGCTGTCCCCTCCCTCGTTCTCGCTCGTGGCCACAGGATTGAGGAAGCTCCCGAGCTGCCCTTGGTCATGTCGGACACCGTCGAGGCTGTTGAGAAGACCAGCGCCGCCATCAAGATACTCAAACAAGTTGGTGCATACCCTGATGCTGAGAAGGCTAAGGATAGTCACGCCATTCGCGCTGGAAAGGGTAAAATGCGCAACCGCCGGTACATCTCCCGGAAAGGCCCTCTGGTTGTGTACGGGACTGAAGGCGCCAAGCTGACCAAGGCTTTCAGGAACATCCCCGGAGTTGAGCTGGCCCATGTGTCCCGCCTCAATCTTCTCAAGCTTGCCCCCGGAGGCCATCTTGGGAGGTTCATTATCTGGACTCAATCTGCTTTTGAGAAGCTGGATGAGATCTACGGGACTTTCGACAAGCCATCTGAGAAGAAGAAGGGGTATGTGTTGCCGAGGACCAAGATGGTGAATGCTGACTTGGCGAGGATCATCAACTCTGATGAGGTGCAGTCTGTTGTGAAGCCAATCAAGAAGGAGGTCAAGAGGGCTACGTTGAAGAAGAATCCGCTGAAGAATCTGAATGTGATGTTGAAGCTCAACCCGTATGCCAAGGCTGCCAAGAGGATGACCTTGTTGGCCGAGGCCCAGAGAGTGCAAGCTAAGAAGGAGAAGCTTGACAAGAAGAGGAAGCAGATCACAAAGGTATATCCTTGTTTTACTCTTCATTCTTATGTATTATGCTCAGTAATTGCACCATACTTATATTCGTTCACGGTTATGCAGGTTTTTATTGTTGTGTTTGGAGCTATAACAATTTTTATCACTCAAATTTGGTCTATATCAATCTCAGTGTGTTTTTGTGTTCTTTATATATTCTTGCTGCACATGTTTGTTTAAAAGATCTTGTAGACTGTTCATCTATATTATCTATGCTGATTCATTATTCTAAGTTTGATTGGTTGCAAAACATATAGTATCTTAAAAGTCCATATGAGAATTTGAAGCTGGAGAATATTATTTGTCAGACTTCATGCTTAAACTATGTTCCAGGTTACGAATAAGCAGTAAACATTTGTATGGGACAAAAAGATGTAGATCATTTTAAGGAGGGGCCTTCATTGCCATATTCTATTAAATACCTCAGTTACTTGTTTAGTCGCTGATTTGAGTCTAACCTTGTTTTGCTAGCATGAGATTCTTGTATGTCTTGTTTGTGACTTTTCTTCTTAATGTTAGCTGAGGCGTGTTGCTTGACTTTTGGATTCAACTAATATTTTTCCTGCTTTTAGTGGTGACGTCTGTGATAAAATAGGTGATACATTGTACTGTGCGAGCATTGAAGCTCGTACTTGTTTATTAGGGCTCCATTTGGGCTTGAAATTATTTCACTAATTTGGTTTATACAGTTGACAGATTTCATATTCCATACGTAGTTTAGTGATTAGTGATTGTACACTTGGTTAGAAGTTTGTTTAGTAATATGGAGTAAAGTCTTCTGATATTCTCCCTCCCCTTCAGCCCCTCAAGGATGATCTTCTTACAACTTTACAGTTCTGCAATCTTCAATCTTTAATTATAGCTGTTGTTTGGTTAAATAATTATGAATAATTTTTGTATCTACCCTCTAACTTATTAATTACTACCTCCTATTCTTTTTAAATGTCATTTTGGCTTTATCAACCATTAACCAAATAAATGACGTTTTGGATCTTTTATACATATTTTTCCATTATTACTCTCATTTAGCTAATAAATACACTACGCCTTTCAGCATCCACTCTTAATTTTCACGTTATTAATTTTCATTAAAGAGGGTTATTATTGGCACGAAAAAGATACTTAATTACTGTGCAACTTCTCAAAGTGACACATCAACAGGAGGGAGTATTATTTTTGGACTGTGTTTCGTTGATGGCTAACCAAATTATAGCTATAGAGGACAAAGGAAGTAAAATATAAACTGTCTTTTAAAGAAACAAGTCTATCTTTGTGGTCTCAGGAAGAACTTAGATAGGGGTATACATGTAAATGAAAATTAATTCCACCCTGTAGGTAAATAGCAAAACTATCCTCCTGGAAACATCTGAAATTGTAACGGTGATTTACATTTCTGGTGGAGTGATTATACATTCTGGAACCTCTGTTTATGGACTGATTCTGGTTTCTTCTGTTTGTTTCCATTACTTTCATTTGCAGGAAGAGGCATCTGCAATCCAATCCGCCGGCAAAGCTTGGTACAAGACAATGATCTCAGACAGTGACTACACAGAATTCGAGAACTTCACCAAGTGGTTGGGTGTCTCTCAGTGATTCAATGTCTATTTTAATGTCTGCTAAAACCCTTACTTCTTATGCTTTATGTTTACTGATTTCGACATTGATTTTTGAGGACACGAATGGGACGATATGGGATGGGGATGACTGCAATGATTTTCTCAAGTCATCAAAAGTTCCTTCTTCCCATGTTTTATCTCCTAGACTTCTTCTGCTTAGTTTGAGAAGATTTTGGTTAGACTATATTTTAAGAATTTATTTATTTTCATGTGATCAAGACATGGTTTTTCTCCATTTTATTGATTCGGTTGTTTTATCCATATATGGTGGTGTGGTAAGTGAATCTTGTTTTGTATGTCTACCTTTCCTGCTCTCTCTTCCTCTATCTGTAGTATGATTTGATTCTAGATTTTTGTAGTATCTGTGAGAGTTTACATGCTTTTGAGCTGTGCTTCTATCATTCTATTGGTAGCATGAAATGCAGAAAGCACTCTCTTCTTTCTGGACCCAAATTGCTTGTGTTTATTACAGGCTTCAACCTATGCTCCTTGGTGATTTACTAGGTTATATTCGTTCCTGATAGTTGGGCCTCAATAAATTCTTGACCTTCATATACTACAGGACACCAGTAAGTTGGTTCTTGTTAGATTTGAGCCATACATTACAGCACAGGGTACCACTAAGTTTGTTGTTTGGTTTGAGTACCCTCGGTGATTTATGACAAAACGGATTTGCTGAACTTGATTGGCTTTACATTCATCTTTATCATTTGTTGATGTAAAAACTAGAAACAACTCGTGTATATCATATGCAATAGTTGGAAGATGGAAGTTGTAACCTGGGAGCATTCCTGATTTAGCAAGTTTTGAGCATTTGAGTCTATCTGAGCAGTATTTTCTATTTTGTAAGGCTCGTTTGGGCTATATTTGTCTGTAATATATCTGATTTAGCAAGTTTTGTTATATGAATTTTCCAAGACTTAGTGAAATTTACTAAAAAGTATATATGAAACTCCACATTAAATTTCACCTTTGAATGTAAGAATTTCAATAATTCATTTTAAATCTAAAAATCTTTTATAAGTTTTAGATTTTGAAAAGTTTTAAAAATATAATTAAAAATCTCAAGCTAATACTCACCTTTGTATATTCATTAGTATATTATAGAAGCTGTTAATATCACATTATTATACACATAATTTTATCTTCATTAATTATTTTAAGAAAATAATATGTTGACGTCAATGATAATACATATTTACTTATTTTATTTTATATATATACTTATGTTAATGATAATATGAGGAGTAAAACTATAAATTTACGCAGGTGCGGATTTACATATCCATTGGGGGGCTATTGTCTCCCCCAACCTTTTTAAGTTTTACGTCATATACACTTAATTTACAATTATTCTCCATAATTATATTATTTTACTATTTAACAATTGCATTAATGAATTTATTTATTATATTGAAACTATTTATATTTGTCTTAGATACTGTATAATTGCCGCCGAAAGAAGAAAAAACAAAGTAAAATTTCCGCCGTTCTCTTGTCTCCGAAAGTCGACTGGCTGCCGCCCTCGTTTTCTCCATGCTCCTCACTTCTTTCAGCTGGTCTCCCCCTCCATTTAAGCTTTTCGGCTTGAATTCGAGGGTCTACGAAGATGTGGTAGTTCCAGCAATTCCTAGATTTGTCTAGCCGATGAAGTTGTTTTGGAGTTCTCAGATTTTTGTGTTGATTGCGGTCTCGTCCGATTAGGGTTGCTGTTTTGAATTTTGGTTTGACGTGGTAGTTGCGGTGGCATGCTGTGTGGGGACAGAGAGACCTTTAATCTATTTACTAGTTGTTTTTGTGTTTTGTTGTTTTTAGCTTTGTGTTAGTATTCTCAATTATTGAAGTGTTTGATTCTCCCCGAGGGGGAGCTGGGTAGCTTTTGTTTAGTTTGTGTTTGGTTTTAGGCTATCGCTTGATAGACCTTCCCTAGATTCATCTAATTTCAGCTTATTTGATTCAGATATTTTTAGTTGTTTTTTAGTCTGTATTTACAGTGTTTATTATTACAAGTGCTTCATTTGAAAAAGAAAAATATAATAATTGACAATTCAAATATGCCACATATAGTAATTTTTATGAGAATAATGATAATTAATATTTAAATTGAATATTATAATAAAAAAGTTGAGAAGTGAAAACAATAAATATTAAAAAGTAAAAGTACTCCCATTGAAAATCCCAATTTGCTCCTCTTGCCTTAGCCGCTCCATCTTCTCGGGTGTGCCTCTCCTCCGGCATCCGAATTTCTTGCGATTCTGGCGAGCATCTAGCTCAGCCGAGGCTTGGCGGCACGGCTGTGGCGATCTCTCGTCTCTTTCAAAAGTGGGCTTCTCTCTTCTCAAGTGCCATTGTGGGTGAGTAGCGAAGGGGAGCGCCAGTGGTTGTGTATCGGCGAACGTCGCGGTCGTCCCTTGCGGAGGTCGGTGGTGGCAGTCTAGCCTTTGTTCCCTCCTCCTCCGACCTTCTCTGGTGTTGGGAAGGTGTCCTTCGCCAACGATTGCGTGGTTGCGAGGTGGCTCCAGTATTTGCGTGGGTGGAGGGTGTACACCGGCCTGGGCGGGTTTGCGGAGTTCCGAGGGTAGTTGGCAGATCTGCAGTACAATTCTAGTTAGCTCGTTAGAGGGTTTTTTGTTCCGTTGTGTTTTGATTGTAGTTCTCGTGACTTTTGCTCAGTCGTTTGCATTTGGATGTTAGCTTGAGTTGTGGACGCCACTGTTTTAAATAGCTCGATATGTAGTTTTTTTTTTTCAAAAAACGCGACGTAGTGGTATATATTTAGCGTTTTTCCCGAAAAGCTTACTCGAAATACTGGAAGACACGCTTTTTTAGCTATTTTGCGTTGTTTCACGCTATTGTGCGCGGCATTACGCTATATTTCTGCAACGATATTTAAATAATAAAATATTCCAAAACTTGTATTTTTTAGGGATCAGAGCCATATTTTCAAATGACTACTAAAAACTAAATTTTTGATAATGATTTTAAATTAAAAGTTTGAAAACGCAAAGTTCTAAGTTGAATAATGCAATATTTATCAGTCCATTTCTATTATAGCATTTAAATTTCTGATATTTTACCTTTACATAGAGAATAAAAGTTCATATATAGTTGTTAAAATTAATTTGTTGTTAACTAAAAATAATAATTAAAATGTATATATTTAAAATTAAACTATGACTTACCTCATTATATTTTTGTTGTTTGCTTTTACTTTTTATTATGTTCGCTTTATTATTTAAATATTTATATTATGCAATTTACATTATAACATTTGTGAGAAATAATTTTTAGATGTTATTTCAGAATTCTCAAATATTATGATAATTTTTGGCATCAACTATCTCGTTTTATTAATGCAAATATATTTATAATATTTCTAACAAAATAATTTTTATACTCAAATAGCTTACGCAACATGCACTGCTTTTTGTGCTATGCAGTATAAAGACCAAAACGCGACGCATTAAGCTCTATGCGTTTTAAAACACTGGTGCACGCTGAGTGTTTATGTCAGATGGGGAGGGCTTTAATTTAGATTGTTTTTGTGTTTAACTGGTTTTGTTTTGCTAGTATGCTTGTTATTTTCTTTATCTTAGTTGTGTGTTTTTATTTTGTGTTTGATTATCCTTTTGGGAGTTGCTATATTTTCGTGGGAGCTTGTGTTTTTTAGGGTCGTTCTGTGTTTAGATTGGTTTTAGAACTATTTGTCTATGGAGTAGTCTTTCCAACTAAATTCAGCTTAGTTGCTGATTATTCGTATTATTTATTGCTTTCTATTGAAGTCTTTGGTTTAAAAAAAATAAAAAAAAAATGGGATTGAATTAATATTATTTTTTATTTGATTAATATTATTATTTTTATTTGATGAATGAAAAAAACATAAAAAGTACTCTCCCCAATAATAGGTATGAACATACAAAGACTAGAGGTAAAGGAACCCGAGCTGTTACAAAAAGCTTCCGTTTTAGCTAAAACCCTAACCTTCGATTATCTGAATCTTTCCTGGACGACTAAGCCATACAACTGCAGCATGAGCCGCTACGACAGCCGCTCAGCCGATCCTAGCTCCTATCGCGATCGCCGCGGGTAAAAGCCCTAACCCTTAGTTTTTCCAATTCGTCATGATTATCGATGTCCATCGTCGTCCTTTCTTTAATTGAATGATTTTCGTTGAATTGAGTGTAAATATAGTTGATTTTATCTTTGTGTGTGTGCTTATGTGTTTGTTATTTTAGAGATTCGGGGTTTGGATACAAAAGCGGATATGAGGGTAATCACCGGTCTTCCTCGTCGGACAAGAAAGAGTACGATAGTGGGGCTCAGTCTCTATCAAGGAATTCTGACTTGGATGGGCTGACACCCTTTGAGAAGAACTTTTATGTCGAGTCACCATCCGTTGCTGCAATGACGGAAGGTGAGGTGGAGGATTACAGACGGCAGCGGGAGATAACTGTGGAAGGGAAGGATGTGCCCAAGCCAATAAAGAGTTTCAGTGATGTTGGTTTTCCAGGTATTTAGGAAATTTGATGTCTTATTGGTAACAAAGGGAAGTTTGTATTTCTGTCCATTTGCTCGTACCATGATATCTGCTTGTTGTTTGATGATGGCGTTGACTGAGCTGTTAATAAGATTCTGTTTGTGAGATTTCCTATGTACGTTTTCACGGATTTTTTTATGGATATCCTCTGCAGGAGATGTTTTTGTTGAATTTTTTTTGGAATCCAGTGAATTAGGACGATGTAGTGTATGATGTGAAACAAACGGATGAATCTGGTTGGTTTATGCCAATCTGGTTTGCTGCTGCCATTTTATGAGTGCTTGCAATGGCTCCAACAAGAATGTTTGGATTCAAATTATAACTTGAGATTACTTCTTTTTACTGAACAGTTAGTTACTTAGCTTACTGTAAAATCTACTCATATATTGTTTTCTGTGGCTCATCTTCTTTTCTGGAGGGGATGGGGGATGCTTTTCTATGTAGACCCGAATTTTTGTATTTATTCTTTTCATTGAATATCTGAGTGAAATAGGCTATTGAACCATTTATGTTATATTTTTTTTTTGCTACAGATTACGTTATGCAAGAAATTGTAAAGGCTGGTTTTACTGAACCTACACCTATTCAAGCTCAAGGTTGGCCTATGGCTTTGAAGGGGCGAGATCTTATTGGTATTGCTGAAACAGGGTCTGGGAAGACGCTTGCTTACCTCTTGCCCGCTATTGTTCACGTTAATGCCCAACCCTTTTTAGGTATTTCAGGATCTTCTGTGTGTTATTTAGATGGATTTGCATCTAACCTTTGAAACTGGTAGATATAAGTATATGTTGGTATCATTATGAACTTTCATATCTTTTTAGCTCTCATTTGACATAAACAATTAGCTGACAGAAACTTCATGTGAACTTTTTATTTTCCTTTGTTAGCTCCGGGAGATGGCCCGATAGTTTTAGTATTAGCTCCGACCCGTGAACTTGCTGTTCAGATACAACAAGAAGCTACTAAATTTGGTGCATCATCAAAGATTAAGAATACATGCATATATGGTGGGGTTCCTAAGGGGCCTCAAGTTCGTGATCTCCAGAAAGGTAGGTGGTGATACGCTCAACGTGACTTTACTTCTGTTTCGTGATGTCATGGATCGGGTATTTCCTTCTGCTATTTTCTCTTCTACTCATGTTTTTAGTAGCATAAATTTGAACAGTGTCGCTGATTATCATCATACACTTGGATAGGTGTTGAAATCGTCATTGCTACACCTGGTAGGCTAATCGATATGTTGGAATCCCATCACACGAACTTGCGAAGGGTAACATATCTGGTCTTAGATGAAGCAGATCGGATGTTAGACATGGGTTTTGAGCCTCAAATCCGAAAAATTGTTGACCAGGTATGTTCAAGCGCAAGAAGAATCTAATCAGACTTACTAACGAATTTTGGTGAAGTCATCAATTTTAGGATATGGGTAGGACGAGTTCGTTGTCTACAGAATATTCTGATGGACATGGTTTATGTATCTGATTTTTTCATCTTCCGTGAACATTTACATATTTCTTAATGTGTGTTTCAGATTCGTCCAGATCGTCAAACTTTGTATTGGAGTGCCACATGGCCGAAGGAAGTTGAACAACTTGCTCGACGGTCCCTGTTTAACCCCTACAAAGTAAGTTTTGTATCTTTGATGCCTTTTTCTATCGTTACAAATATATGAATTCCTGCTCATTCTTCAATCACGATTACATACTGTTTTTGATGTATTTTATAAATTATAATGAGATTTAAAAAGTTTTCTTGTTTGGGTATATTTGTTTTATACTCAAAAGTGGAAATGGAGTAACTTCCTTTGGCCCTCACTGTGCTCGTGCTAATGAGCACAGTTACATACTTGATCAGAGGAACTGCTGAAGCCTGCCTCTGCCTTGAAAAGCCAAGCCTTGATACCTTGAAAGAGACAAGAATTGTGAAGAAGCATTGATTAGGAAAAGCTTGATGTCAAGCATTGATTAGGATAAAGCTTGATGTCATTCTATTTGGAGATTCTTGTATTTTTGAGTACATAGCTGACAGCAATATTTTGGTCTCTGTGTATTTTTCTTTGGTATTCTGTTTTATTTTATTTTTCTTATAGATTGGGTTCTGGCACAGGTCATCATTGGATCGGAAGATTTGAAAGCCAACCACTCTATTTCCCAACATGTCCAAATTGTTACTGAGAACCAAAAATATGACAGGCAGGGATAACTTCCCTTCCCAATCCCTATGCTCATGAATTTGATGGAGCTTTTTATGTTGGTTTTAACTTTTTTCAATGACATGTTCAGATTAGTGAAACTGCTGGAGGATATTATGGATGGTAGCCGGATTTTGATATTTATGGACACAAAAAAGGGGTGTGATCAGATAACTAGGCAGCTCCGTATGGATGGTTGGCCTGCATTATCTATTCATGGAGACAAGAGTCAAGCAGAAAGAGATTGGGTCCTATCTGAATTCAGGGCAGGCAAAAGTCCCATTATGACAGCTACAGATGTTGCAGCTCGTGGTCTAGGTATGTGTAGGAAGCAAAAGAATGTTTGACGACTCATTTGGTTAGCTGCATATCTGGTCTGGCATGAAGTACATTACTATTGTAGACTCCACAGTCATTACTTTCTAACAAGAGAAAACTAATAAAATCATTTTTTCCTAATTAATACTACCAAAATCCTCCATTATTGTATATTTCTCGATCCCAGGTAACATTTCATCATTTTTTTTTCCATGTGAGGTGATAAGGACCATTACTTTAGCTACATGATGGTAAAGGTGGCAGGAGTAGACTGCTGACTCACATTTTATGATGGTTTGTTCGGTTGAAATCATAATGCTATATTCCATCATAAAACTGATAATTTATAGAAACTGCTGTGTGTTTGGTTTTTAGAAGGAACTGTTTGAAATTGGTGTCCAGTGATTTCCACCACAAATTATACTACTACGAGAATTATACCGAGATAAGCGAGATTGCATAGAGCATTCCCAAAGTTGTGAACTCTTTTTTT